ACAATGAAATTGGGGGTCACCACAACATGAGGAACTGTATTAAAGGGTCGCGGCATTAGGAAGGTTGAGAACCACTGGTCTAAAGGATGGTGGCTCCTAAAGGTGGGTGGCTCCCAGCATGGCTTTCACTCCTCACCAGGCGTGGCCTGGGGCACCATCATGGAGAGTCCCAGAGCTGCAGGGGCCAGTGTCCCTCTCCTCAGGCTCTGGGCACCCCGACTGCTGCCCTGGGTCCCTGTGTGGGGATGGTCTCAGGCCTCCGTCACTCCTGGAATGTCATTTGTATAGACTCCTTCCAAATCTTGGAAGACCAAGTGGGGGGCTCTTCTTTTACCCTCAAGCTCACAACCTCTCTTCCCTCCCTACTGTAGGCCATCAGCCAAATTCCCTTCCTGGTCCTAGGTCTTTGAAACCAAAGGCCTAACTATGGGTGACTGCCCAGGGTAGTTCTCTGAACCACTCTACACAAAACAAAACAAAACAAAACAAGCAAAACAAAACACAAAGCAAGAAGTTGTTTATCACTTCCTTCCATCACACACACACACACACACACACACACACACACGCAGTAAGCAAACTCAAAATAAACGTCTTAAGCCACACAGTCTGTGGAATTTTGTGGGGCAACCCGGCAGTCTCATACACCTTCCCAGGGATGAAGGACTGTCGATGTCTCTAATGTGCTTCATTTCCAGGCTCTGACCCCCCTCAGGGAGGAGGCTACCCCTTGGAATGGAGAATTTGTGATGCATAGCAGTGTAAACCATACTTCTTTTTTCAATCATTCACCTCCCACAGCACCAAGCAGTTGGAAATGTTAAGGACACCAAAACAGCAGACTCAGGGTCAGAAATCTCCAGAAGGCACTAACATCTAGGAATTAGTGCTACTGACCTCGGGAGGTAAAATAATGCTATGGAGACTGAGTGAAAGTTTTACATATTGGGGAGGGTGTGGAATTTATGTGGAGATGTGTTCTTCCCTATCCCAATGATTTAAACAAAAATCATTTAGCCCAGCTGGTGTGGCTCAGTGGTTGAGCATCGACCTATGAACCAGGAGGTAATGGTTGGATTGCCAATTGGGGCACATGCCCAGGTTGCAGGCTTGATCCCCAGTGTGGGGCATGCAGGAGGCTGCCAATCAATGATTCTCTCTCAGCATTGATGTTGCTCTCTCTCTCTCTCTCTCTCTCTCTTCCCCCCCTTCCTCTCTGAAATTGATAAAGATATATTTTTTAAAAATCATTTAAGCACTATAGAAGCCCAGCACCTAGGACTTTTCAAAATCCTACAAAATGTTTCAGAATGAAAAATTAAATTAGTTTCGAAGAAAATAAGGTGGTCAAGTAAAAATAAAATATTATTTTCAAAGCAGAGTTATCAAATGCTTTTCAAAATGTCTCCAGTGGCATTACATTTAAATTAGGATGCTAGAGCATTTTAATATTGTTATTGTTACTGGGAAACTCCCAATTGGGCTCAGACTGCCTGTCGCTGTGTCCAGCAACAAAGGCAGGGTTGAATCATATTAGGCGTTTATTGAGAAGGCTAGCCAACCAAGAAGATGCTTACAAGCATCAAATCCTGTCTTCACAGCAAGGTACAGGGGTCAGGATTATAAAGGGGAAGGGGCTAGGGTGAGGCAGCCCTGGAGGTCTGTAGGCATCAGCTATTGTCCTTTAGTCCTCAGGTGATGAGAGGATGTTGTTGAGATGATGTTTTGACTCCTGGTGGGTCGGTCTGACTCTGCTTATTGGTTCTGCTTGCTGGATTCACAGTTTTTTAAGGGAAACTTTAAGAAAAACTTAACCCCTTATTCACATATGAGAAACTTAACTCCCTATTCACATAAGTATATGTGTTCTAAGGTTTAAAATAAACATGATTATTTTTCAGATTCTTCAGGCATTCTATCAGATTACAGGTCCCCCTATCACTATCACAGGAGTGGTGCCTGTAAAAGTAAGTCAGACCAACGAAGTCTTAAATTGGTGCTGCTCTCTCTCCACCCCCAGGCCCATCTGGGTTTAGGTGATACCAGTAGCCTGGGGACAGGTTTGTAATGTGGGATGGGGTTGAGGGAGAGGCTGACATGCCCTCTGAAAGGCAGACATGTCATAGAGGAAGGTGGTCAAGAGTCCAGCTTGAACCTGGGTTTGAATCTGAATTCTACCCGTGTGACCTCAGGCAGCTTGTTTCATTGCTGGCACAATGGGGATAAGAAGGCCTGAGATTTTTGTGAGAACTGAAGAGAGGAAGAAGGTAAGGTGCTTAGCTTGTGCCTGCGGAATTGTAAGTGCTTGATAAATGCTAGTGATTGTATTGATAGTGGCCTTCAGCAGATTCTTACAGGGGGCCGAGAAAAGGAGAGGTCCTGGTCACTAGGCTTTTGCTCAAACGTGAGCCACGGAGAAAATATTCAGTAAGTGGGTATTGACTGGATGTGTTTTTGTTCTCACAGTTGAGAGAAAACAGCAGTGCAGAGAGGTTATGTGACCCACAGGATGGCAGGTCCCTAGGGATGACTGGGTGGCAAGGAGGCAGGCAGGGGCAGGGGTGGGGAGCCTGGGTGGGCAGGGCTCCAGGAGAACACCTTGTGCAAGACCTTAGGGGCAGACAGGCAGGTCCCCAGGGTCCTGTGGGCTCAGGCACCTCTTCTGCAGCTCCAGTGTGGGGGTGGAGGGTGGGAGGGTAGGTTAGGGGTGGGGGTGTAGAGCAGACATTGCTAGTTGGCATCCTAGGAATGCGGGCTGCTTTGGGAAGTTAAAGTTTGCCAGTGTTGGAGCACCGATCATGACAGTGACAAAAGCAAAACTAAATCTGGGACCAAATGAACATAGGCTGTTAATGCTTTTGCAGGTCACTTGTGCTTCATGGTATTAGAAAGTACAGTGGCTTCATGAAGCAAAAAGAGTAAATACTGAGACACTGAGGAGCAAGCATTCTGTTAAGGTGGGAGTTTGGAAGCAGGGAGACATTCTAATTGGTCTTTGGGCACAGATGGCAGTCCTTTATTGGCTGCAAGGGGGCAAATGAGCAGTGTGGGGACATTTCAAATGAAGATTGTTTCATGTTAGGTGGAGGGTTTTTTGAGTCTAGCCATTTCCTGAAACAAGTTGCGGGGTTGATGAAGTGCTTTTTTTGGGGTCAAACTGTTATCATGGCCCCTGTGGGGGAGTAGGGGCTGCTATCAAGTCAGTTTCTCAGCAGAGATCCAGATCAGAGGATCCCTGGCCAGGGAACCAGAAGACCTGGGTTCTTGGCTCAGCTGGTCACTAACTGAATTGGTCATCTCGCTGGACCTATCTATCATCTGTACATTGAAGGGGCAGGATCACACAAGAATGCCAAATCGCTGACCTTCGGGCCAAATCCAACCTGCAATTGTGTTTTCTCTCACCTATAAATTATGACTATGGTTTGTTATTTAGCCTGCCATCAGGAAGGCTGTGCATCCTGCAATCCACAGCCCCTCTGCTCCATGCCTTTAGGCAACCTGCTGAGACTGCAGCCCTGAACTAGATGACTCTGATGCTTTCCTGGTGCTGGTCTTTATTGTTCTTCAATGTTCAATGACATCTTTTCACTTTCTCTGCCTCCCACGGTCACCTTATACCACCATTCACAAATATTTGACACTTCAACTTCTTGAGTCAATTACCAGTATTTCTTTCAGAAAAGTGGAGAGAGACATGATATAATGAACCACCTGAAAGAAAGTGAACCAAACAACAATCTGTAAATACGGAATCCCACAATGGAGGCTGGAACCAGAGGCTCTACTTGACTTGGCTCAGCTAAGAGTGGTCTGATGCCTCCCTGGTTGGAAAGGACCAGTCAGGACAAACCCAGTTCGGACTTAGAGCCACAGAGTCACACCTCTGGGCATGAGTAGCAGCCTCAGCCGGCCCCCAGCCCCACAGCCAGCAGTCCAGGAAGCCACACTCTCCGCCCTCTCCACCAAGGAGCCAGGACCAGAGTCAACACCCCAGAAGGGCAAATGCTCTTCTTCTCACGCACTGTGCCCAGGGATCAGATGCTCTGTCGCCCATTTGGGGCCCGGACACTGTTGTGTCGCTGGATTCTTCCACCCCATCCTCAAACCACGGACCAGATAAATCAAGTTGAACTGACTTCAAAGCAAACACTTCACAGAGCCATCTGTGATTCATTCCCTTTCCTAGTTATGTAACCAGAGAGATCCAGACAGAGACACAGATTGGAAGAACTTTTTTTTTTAACCCCAAACCTTTACAGTATTGGGATAATTATGGCTTTCATAGGGTTGATTACTTTAAGCTGTCAGTAATTTGAGTCTTTTTTAGAGTCAGTGACCAACTTTTTGTAATTACATTCTCTCTTCCCACTTCCATCTCCAAGGAAAGAAAACAGAGTCCCGAGTTCCCAGGACTTCTTTCGGAGCACCTCCCGGGCACCGAACGCATCCACAGCCGTAGAAGGGACTGTCCATCAGTGCTCTCTGCCTGAAAGAAGTGTGGGCTTATGTGGCCAGCGCATGGATGTCAGCCATTCACAAATCATCCAAAATATTGTGGTTCATGGTTAAAGAGCAATGCAAAATACTAGATACTTTAAGAAATGGTATTTTCCACACATTTCAACTTTTTAAACATTTTGTTTTCTGATTACGTAACTAATACCTGTCAGAGTGAAAATTGAGAAGCAAAAAGAAGAAAATAATTATCCCAAATCCTTGCCTGGGAGAATTATTCAAACAATAAGTGATCCTAATATTTCAGCACATTTCTCTCCAGTCTTTGATTCATGTATATTTATATTTTTAGAGTTAAAATTCTACTGCATTTATAATTTTCTATCTTGCATTTTCTACTTAGTCATTTGCCCACATAATAAAAAACTTTATAACCCTAGTTTTCAACACAATTTCAAATACAATGGATGTACCACAATTCCTTGCAAAACAAATCCTTTATTATAGGGCAAAGCTTGTCTCCAGTGTTTTGCTACTAAATGCTACCTGAAATTCTTTAACTGTACATTTCTATCTGCATCTCTGATTGCTTTCAGAGGATCTATTCCTAGGAGTGTAATCAATTCTGCACCAAAGAGTATGGGAAAATTTTAACATTCTTAATACCTTTCAGAAACATTGAACCACTACTAAAGCTGTCTGAGCTTAGTGACAGAGGTGGAGGGTGTGCTGGGAACGAAGCAGCTGGGGCACTGAGCATGGCCCACAGGTATGACGGGAATCACAGGACAGATTTGTAAAATGGGAGTGGGTGAGTAAAACGCAGGAACCGCATTCTTGAAGAGATAGTTGGGGCTAGAGGACACAGGAAATAAGATATTATTGGTAAGGATATGACCTTACAAGGACTTTCGAATCTGAAGATATCTGTGTCCATGGATGTGATCATGAAAGTATATGACTATTACCCCAAATGTTGCTGACGTCAATGCTAATTTTAGGTGCTGGAAAATTAACTGAATTAGCTCTCCTCTTTCCTCTCCACATCCATTCCTTTGGCAGTTTCATCCACCTTACACCTTACTCTACTTCTTTAACAAGCTGGCTCCTAGGTCTCTGTTTCCAACTTTGCTGTTTCTCTTTACCACCTTTCCAGCCTCCTGCTTGATGTCTCAGCCTGACTGGCTGCTCAGCGCTTCAGACTCAGTACCTACCAGACAGAACTCACTTTCCTCCCAAATCTGCTCCTTCTTCCTTGCTGCCTGTTCTGATAAAGGCACCACCAGGCATCCAGCCTTGAGATCTGCAGCAGGGGAAGCAAGCATATCACATAGATAAGAGCTTTTCTGTCTTGAGTAATTTAAAAAATTCATGTCTAAGTAGAAGTGGGCAACTGGCACCAAAGAGGCTGAATAAACGTACCCATCCAACAAGTCTATATTAGGAACCTACGACGTTTCAGGAGGTGCCGTTCTCTGCATGGGGCTCAGTAGTAAATACATCAGGCAAGGTTCTCTGTCTTCATGGTGCTTCATCCAACAGGTACCAGACCTCTGAGTTTGGCTCAGGAATAGCAAGCTTCACCCTCTTACCAGAGCATCAGGTAAAAGCAGGGGGACAAATTCCCCTGAAAGTATGCTGCTGTCAGCTCTGGGTTTTGGAGTAATAGACAGGGAGTAACATCACAGAGAAGGGTGAGAATATCAAGAAGATGACTAAGCATGTGTGGGAGGCTGAATAGTGGCCCCACAAAGGTGTCCATGTCTAATCCCCAGAACTTGTGACTATGTTTCCATACATGGTAAAAGGAACTTTGCAGATGTGATTAAGGATCTTAAGATGGTGATATTATCCCATATTATCTGCGTGGGCCTGATGTAATCACTAGGAACCTATAGAAGGAAGGCCTAGAGACAGAGGAGGGATGATAGCAGCAGAGGCTGGAGGAAGGGGCCACAAGCCAGGGAAAGCAGGAATCGAAAATACAAGGGAACACTTTTGCTCCTAGAGCCCTCAGAAAGAATACAGGCTGGCTGACCCCTGAATTTTAGCCCCATAAGATTCATTTGGGACTTCTGGTCTCCTGTACTGTAAGATAATACTTGTGTGTTGTTCAAGCCACTGTGTTTGTGCTCACTTGTTTCAGCAGTAATCGGAAGCAAATACAGCAAGCAAGTAGGTTGGCTCGCCACAGCTGCATAAGCACTGCAAGTAGACAGGGAGACTCAAGTCAGCTGTTTTCATAACACAGCAAACAGCCAGGAACTCCCACACGGAGCTGCCCTCTTGGAGCAGATGCCCATCCCTAAGTCCTATGGGAGCTGTGAGGGGCCCAGGTGGCAGCTGTGCACACTGTGGGTTGTGCTGCAGCTAAGGAACCCAGGCAGGAAATCACCACCCTTTACATGAAGTAGGAAACAAGCCACTCCCCTCCACCGGTGAGCAGTGGACAGTAGAGTGGTCTGCTATGGTCACCTTGACCTGCTAAATGTTTCATGACTAGTTATAGCTACAGAAACAGCTCAGAGTCAGAGGACTGTTAGCTTTGCAGTGTGGCACGCTCAGCAAGGACATGCAAGGACACATGGGCCCACAGTGATTGCCTCTTCCCAACACAGAGTCCCTGCCCTGCCCCCCAGGCTGCTCTCCCGACCTCAGCCCAGCCCCGCAGGGCTGAGAAACTGCCTTGTCTTCTAGGAGGTGTTCCTTTACTGGTCCCAGCAAATGCCTCTTTGTCCTCCAGGCAGTTCATTTCCACTGCCAGGGCCCAGAAAGTTCTTGTCCAAGGTGGAGAATTGGGCAGAGGTGTTCCCACGGGGCCCACACAAATGCCCACACAGTCTACCGTGGGCCAAACAAGGTCAGCAGGCAGTTTTAAATGTCACCCTAACAAGGCCAGCAAGCTAGCCAGAGCTGAGCCTCAATGGCACCTCTGTGTCGGGCTGGTTGACTCTGGGTGCCCGTGAGAGACCTAGAGGACAGAGTAACCAGCCAACAGCCTCCAGAGAGGGCCTGAGGCTCGGCCTCTTCTCATAACCAAGGAGGTGTGTGGGAGGGAGAGCACTAAGAAGTGGTTTGCATTTACCCCTCAGAGGAAGTTATTGGAGTCTGAGGCAGTGAACAACTGATGCTGACTCCAGGGTTCCAGGAGGTTAGACTCTTTTGTTCTTGTTAATCCTCACCTGAGGATGGATATTTTCCCATTGCTTTTTAGAGAGAGTAGAAGGGAGCAAAAGGCGGGGGTTGGGGGTAGGGGGAAGAGAAACATTGATATTGTGAAAGAGACACATGTATTGGCTGCTTCTCGCAGGCACCCTGACCAGGGCCAGGGATTGAAACTGCAATCCAGGTATGTGCCCTTGACTGGAATAGAACCCGTAACCCTCAGTGTGTGGGCTGGCTCTCTAACCACTGTACCATACCAGCTAGACTCTTGACAATCAAGGATTTAACTGTGTGTGTGTGTGTGTGTGTGTGTGTGTGTGTGTGTGTACATGCACACAGGTATACACGCTATTCCCCCCAGTCATGGAAACACATGAAAAGAAAATCTAGAACACGTGTATCTTTTCTCTCTAAAACATTATGCTTACATATTTCCATTCCAGAATCTTATCTAAGCCACAATAGCAGTTTCTCTCAGTGTATGAGAACAGGCTTGCTTCCTCCCCAGAAATGTTCTCTCTTGGGATTGTTGGTATGATTTAGGCATAACTTGGTGGTAAAGAGGGAGATTCCTAACCCCCTTGCTAGACATGCTAGACCAGCTGTGGGCAAACTATACAGCCCGCAGGCCGGATCCGGCCCGTTTGAAATGAATAAAACTAAAAAAAAAAAGACCGTACCCTTTTATGTAATGATGTTTACTTTGAATTTATATTAGTTCACCCAAACACTCCATCCATGCTTTTGTTCCGGCCCTCCGGTCCAGTTTAAGAACCCATTGTGGCCCTCAAGTCAAAAAGTTTGCCCACCCCTGTGCTAGACATTAAAGAACTAGTGCTACATTGTATTGCATGTCAAGGATCCCCAAACAAAAAAACAGGAAGACAAAATATAATCTAAACACAAAGATAAATGTATTCTGGTTTCAATGAAATTATACAAAACTAGAGGCCCAGTGCACAAAAATTTGTGCACTCAGGGGCAGGGGGGTCGCTCAGCCCGGCCTGTGCCCTTTCGCAGTCTGGGACCCCTCGGGGGATGTCCACTTGCCAGTGGGGACCAGGCCTAAGCTGCAGTCGGACATCCTTAGTGCTGCTGAGGAGGCGGGAAAGGCTCCCGCCATCACTGCTGTGCTGGCAGCCGGCAGCCTGGCTCAGGGGTGGGCAAACTTTTTGACTCGAGGGCCACAATGGGTTCTTAAACTGGACCGGAGGGCCGGAACAAAAGCATGGATGGAGTGTTTGTGTGAACTAATATAAATTCAAAATAAACATCATTACATAAAAGGATACGGTCTTTTTTATTTTTAGTTTTATTCATTTCAAACGGGCCGGATCCAGCCCGCGCGCCGTAGTTTGCCCCCGGCTGAGCTAGTCCCACCCACCCACTCCAGCCTTCCCTCTGAGATTCAGGAGCTGTG